TAATCAAAGTTAAAATGGACATATAGTCACTATGATATAATATTAATATTGGAGTAAGATCTGACTTGTAATATGAAGTTTGAGCAATTAATAGCACTAAAAAAAGTAAAAAAAAATATGAGGTAGTTGGTACTAGTTAGTAAAAGATAGTACAGGGAATTGCACAATAATGTAATAGGAATATACACTAATTGCACCACACAATATAAAAGGGACTAAAGTAAGTAGTGGTAAACAATATTAAATAGACTGATAGCAACCAAGAATAACATTAATTTTGGAGTAAGATTTGACTTGCAACACAAAATTTGAGCAATTAATAGCAATGAAAAAGAAGTAAAAAGTATTTGAGGTAGTTGGTACTAGCTAGTAAAAGAAAGTTCAAGGAACTGCACAAAATGTAATGGGAACATATACTATATGCACCACATGTATATGTGTGTTAAGGACACTTATCTAATCTGTTACTGAAATGTCAGCTTTTCTAAGGAAGGTAGAGAAATCATGTTCATCTGAGATGTTCTATTGTTGTCCTGTTGCTGTTTTTCTAACTAGTATTTTCCTATCTCGCGTGAAACACTGATGTATTTTGTTTTCCTGTTTAAGTTTTCTCAACCTGAACAGAAGGTTTTGACGTTTTCTTGTTAGACACTCGTTGATGTACACTCCATTTCTCATTGTAATTGCTGATTTAATTAGGTCCTTTTTTCTATCATATGAATGAAGTCTGATCATAATACGTGTACTGTGTTTACTACCTTGTTTTCCTAGCAGACACGTTTCTTTGATTTCATTGCTTTGTACGATAGCTTGTACGTGGCCATGTATTATTCTGATAGCAGTTTCTTTGCACTGGGCTTGGGATATGTCACTAGGAATGTGTGGGCTGTTTATTATAACTGCATCTTGTTCGGTTTTGTCATCTTGGAAATCAAGGTATTCACTGAGTCGAGTGTGCATGTTCTGATTCCTGTCAATGATTACAGACGTATAGCGGAACTTGCCCTTACTATCTAATATGTTCAAAAAAGTAATACACAAGCGAATTTAGTCTTATTATCCCACAATATACTTAATCCCTGCCAGTTTGGATTTAGGCTGAAAAAAAGTACGAATGATGCAATTGTACAAATGCTCAAACTACTATATACAGCACTCAAAAAAAGTGAATATCCCCTAGGGCTCTTCATAGACCTACAGAAAGCATTTGATATAGTGGACCACAATCCCTTGCACCAAAAACTTGAACATTACAGTATCAGAGGACATTCCCTTGATTACCTAAAATCTTAGCAATAGACACCAGTATGTACACACAGATGGTGTTACCTTCACTACTCAGCCTGTAATTGTTGGAGTCCCACCGAGAAGTGCCCTTAGCCCACGTCTCTTTCTCATTTACATCAATGGCCTTCCCAACACATCTAAACTCCTTAAACCAGTTCTATTCACAGATGACACTGCTTATGTCTTCTTCCAGTCAAACCTGGCATTGCTTAGAGACACTGTAAATGATGAGCTACTAAAAATATCTACGTGGATGATGACCAACTAACTTACTCTCAATGTAGACAAAGCCTGCCTCATGCTGTTTGGAAACGTAACTCCAAATTTCCAGCTAAACATATTGATAAATGGTTTCCCCATTATGAGACACACTGAAGGCAAATTTCTAGGTCTTCACTCTGAGTGCAATCTTAAATTTCAGACCCACATCCAGCATATATCCAAGAAAGTCTCCAAAATAGTAGGCATCCTTTCCAAGATATGGTACTATGTACCCCAAATGGCACTATTTGCACTATACCACACTCTCATCTACCCTTATCTCACCTATGGTATTTGTGCTTGGGGTTCAACCACGGCCAATCACCTTCAACCATTAATAACCCAACAAAAAGCTGCTGCGTGGTTGATTACCAACTCTTGCACCAGGCAACACACTCACTGCTCTTCAAGAGCTTGTACTTGCTTAATATACAAAATATTCACTCATATTATTGTGCCTACTATATATACAGATCATTATATTCCAGTATAAATCCTCCTCTCAAACTTCTCCTTGACAACTACAACAGAATACACAGGCAAGACACAAAACTCTCTTCAACATTCCTCATGTCATTCCTCACGCAGAATGCAATGCATATAAAGGCCCGAGGATCTGGAATTCATTGCACGAACCAGCAAAATGCCCCTGCTTGCAAATCAATTTAGGGCTCTACTTAAAAATCATTTCATCTCCCAAAATTAACAATACCAACACTATGCTAAATCATATAGCCAGTTTGAAGCAACTCAAAAACTCTTGAAAAAGTTTACAACAGACTGATTAACTAAATGTTAATACAGTGGACCCCGAGTTTCATGATTAATCCGTTCCAGAGTGTCTGCCAAAAGTCAAAATTCATGAAACTCAAAACCATTTTCTCCATAAGAAATAATGTAAATCCAATTAATCCATTCCAGACACCCAAAAGTATTAACAAAAATTATTTTTTTTATAGATTAAATAAAGATTTACATACAGAAAAGAATGAGAAATCAAGTATAAAACAATATCACACTTACCTTTACTGAAGACTCCTGTTGGTGTATGGAACATAAAGCAGGAACACTGCAGCAGACCTGTTGGCCCATACTAGGCAGGTCCTTCACAAACCATCCTACTTACAGAATATTTGCCCAACCTAATTTTCAATGCTGCCTAAGCAATAAGAACATAAGAATGGAGGAACACTGCAGAAGGCCTACTGGCCCATACGAGGCAGGTCCTTATCAAAACGACCCCTACCCAAAGCTACCCAAGAATATCCTCCCGTACCCAATGGCACCAATCAAATCCAGCCCCTCCCACTCATATATTTGTCCAATCTCTTCTTAGAGCTACCCAAGGTCCTAGCCTCAATCACCCCACTTGGAAGATTGTTCCACGCATCCACAACTCTGTTCGAAAACCAGTACTCACCTACGTCCTTTCTAAATCTAAATTTATCCAACTTAAATCCAATTATTTCTGGTTCCTACCTGGTTCGACACCCTCAGTACTTTATTAATATCACCTTTGTTTATACCCATCATGCACTTATACACTTCAATGATATTTCCCTCATTCTACATCTCTCCAGAGAGTGGAGATTCAAGGCTCTAAGTCTATCTTCGTACGGGAGATTCCTTACACAGTAAATCATTTTAGTCATTCTTCTTTGTATGTTCTGCAAAGAGTCTATATCCGTCCTGTAGTAAGGAGACCAAAACTGAGCGGCATAATCTAAGAGAGGCCTCACTAGTGATGTATAGAGCTGGACTGGACTTTAGTCAAATTGACTGGACTTCTTTGACGAGTAAAGGAAACACTCGTAAATAATCTGGAGATCACTCGTAAATAATCTGGAGATCGCTGAAGAGCTTGGCGCAAGTGATCACAAATCCATCAGTTTTAGCATTAAGTGGGAATACGAGAATAATGATAATACAGTAAAAGTCCCTGATTTTCGTTCTGCTGATCTGAACCCTTTCAGGGTCCAGAGGCAAAATTTCAAGGGGTGCCCCAGTGTCCAAGAAATTAAAAAAAAAAAAAAAAATTCTCACAGAATTAAAGATAATATTTTTGTGAAGGTAATAAAACAAAAAAATTTCTGATCAGCACTTACCGAGATATAGAGGCGGGAAGTTGACCCAAAATGACCGGGTGGCGGCAACATCAGCGATTTCCGCAAAATCGCATTTATTTTACATTTTTTATACTTTTTTTTTTCTAGTAACATTTGTGGCCTGTGAGACCAACACTGTATATAATCTATGTGTTGTTTGTCCGTCGATTCGACGAGGACCATCTAGTCATCCTGGGGTCGAAGTTGGTGGGTACGCAGATGACTTGTCAGGCCAATCCGCGCACGAAACGTTCTCTGGCAGTGTGGACAGGGAAGGGTGGTGGCATCGAGGGGTCTGATGGCTCTGGTCTTCCTTGCCTGCCTGCGCTGCTCAGCTAGTGAGATTCTGCTTGCCTCGCAGGATGTTGCCCCTTTCTGGACAACTGCTCGTCACTCATTCCTGTCCTGAGCTATCAGCTCCCACATGGTGTGGTTGATGTTGATAGCTTTCAGAGCAGTCTTAAGGGTGTCCTTGTAGCGCTTCTTTTGGCCTCCTTGAGAGCGCTTTCCATGCTGCAGTTCACCAAACAAGAGTTTCTTTCGCAGCCGGTGGTCTGGAATGCAAGCAACGTGACCTGCCCAGCGAAGCTGTGTCTGCATTAGGATGATGTAGATGCTAGGCAGGCCAGCTGTAGTCAGCACTTCTGTGTCTGGGATCTTATCTTGCCATTTGATGCCGAGAATTTTTCTGAGCCGTGTGGTGTGAAAGTGGTTCAACTTTCTGGCGTGATGTTTGTAGACAGTCCAGGTTTCGCAGCCATAGAGAAGTGTGGTGAGGACTATGGCTCTGTACACCTTGATCTTGGTGCTTGTGGTGATAGCAACGGCTTGCTGCTCCTTCAGACCTGCGCCGAACACGATATTCTGATCACCAACACCGTCTTTAGCCTCCCTACCCACAACAGGACATCATGGATGCACCCACGTTCCAAACACTGGCATCTCATTGATTATGTCATCGTCAGGAAGAGGGACAGGCAAGATGTACGAGTCACGAAGGCCATGTGTGGCGCGGAATGCTGGACAGGCCATCGCCTCATCGCCTCAAACTTCATCCCTCCAGAGAAGAAGTCCCTACCCCTAGACACAAGCAGCTCAAGCTTCATCCCTCCAGAGAAGAGGCCCCTACCCCTAGACACAAGCAGCTCAAGCTTCACCAGTATTTAGGTGACCCAGTGTCAGACAAGTGTTAGGTCAAGAAAATGAGGTAATAACTGTAAAAGCAGAAGAGTAATATGAAAGATGATGAATGGGAGTCATGTGGAAGAGAAGAGGAAGATGCAATATGAAGGAGACAAGAACTCAAAGATAAAGAGAGTAGTATACCAGTCAATTTAATTTGTTTACCTGGAGGCCAGAGTGCAGCCAGTGGAGGTATGATTCTCCTTCAGCGTGTCGTGGGGCATCGGGATCCACCATCACCACAGTGTATGTCTTTGTCTGTAAGATAAAGCAGCTTTTAATCCCAAACCTATACAAATACAGCCTATAAGTATTCTCCACGGTACCTTGACAGATGAAACAACTACTAATGTTCATGACTGCACGACGTCCAGGATAAAGCAGCTGTTATAACACTGCAATCCCCCGGGTTGCACAAACCTAACAATCTGGTCTAAATCCTTTATAGTTTTTAGTTATGGTAGTATTGACAATAGACACGATCTAACTTTCATGTATACTATGATAACACTTACAAGGTACACGAGTGGAGAGTGCTGAGGCTTATGAGGACAAATAATAATCTTTGTAAACTTGCAAGGGAATAAAAGAATTTGAATTTGTTAAGAACATTCATATATGATTTTACAAACATTATAGATTAATTTAACGATTCTGCAGAAAAATGAATGTTGCAAGCATACACTGGTGGTAAATTATGTATATTATTCACAAGATGACCAAAGAAAATCAAACAGCATTTTATTTCCACTGTGGTCCTTCCTAAAGAATAAAGTTATAATACTAGGACTGGAAGAAACCACCAAAAAGCCCACACTGGGAAAGGAACTTTATGATAATATTTTGGTTCATCATGGACCACTGACTAGTCCCAACACTTGTGACTTTACACAAATAACCTGCACATAGGAGAATGAAACTGATGTTGATGTTTCGGTCCGATTAACTAATGGCCCAAGTCAGACTGAAACGTGGTCATTAATCTCATGCTTCAACGTGCGGGTTATTTGTGTATTATCCCAGTCATGATATTGTGCCTTTTTATTTTTTAACTGTGATTTTACAATATTCCAGAATGTACCAAAACAGCATCCTAAATGAGTTACTGAAGGAAAGGATCCTTCCTAGCACAGACCAGAAAGACAACTGCAGTTCTCCTCTTCCTGAGTGTAGCCTTGACTGCTACAACACATATCTGTAAAATTACCAATCACCACATCTCAAACTGAACTAGTATGTGGTTTAACAATGGTAAAAGCCAACAGATTGTGAGACTGTCTGTAGGAAAAACACTACATTTCATCAAGGAAAAATCAATATGTTCTGTCAAGGGAAAAAACAATATAAAGTTTAGTCAAGGATAAGCTAATATAATGTTTTGTCAAGGAAAAAAATGTGTGTTTAAAAAAAAAAAGTTTTATCCCGGTCAATTCTCCGATTGTTGAAAATAAATTTATTAAAAATCTCTTTTCATAAACAAGTTGTGGAGTTTACCATGTCTGAATTTTTACTTGTTTGCACTTCAGAAACGTTGTAACTAGAGTACATTGCATTTGAGAGTACAGTGGACCCCCGGCATACGATGGCATCGGCATACGTTAAATCCGGCATACGATACATTTTAACGCAAAAATTTTGCCTCGCCACATGTTAAAAAACCCGCCACACGTGATTCGTCTGGGATGCGTCCCACGTGTGTCCTCAGCTGCCCCGTGCATGCCAGTGTATACAAGCCAGCCAGTGCGGTCGCATCCACACATACAATTGGTACATTTCATATTATCATAGCGTTTTTAGTGATTGTACCTGCAAACTAAGTCACCATGGGCCCCAAGAAAGCTTCTAGTGCCAACTGTGCGGTAAAAAAGGTGAAAATTACTATGGAAATGAAGAAAGACATAATTGCTAAGTAAGAAAGTGGAGTGCATGTCTTGGAGCTGGCCAGGTTGTCTACCAAACCCCAATCAACCATCACTACTATTGTGGCCAACAAAACGGCAATCAAGGGAGCTGTTCTTGCAAAAGGTGCAAGTTTGTTTTCGAAACAGAGATCGCAAGTACTTAAAGATGTTGAGAGACTGTTATTGGTGTGGATAAACAAAAAACAGATAGCAGGAGATACCATCTTTTAAGCGATCATACGTAAAAAGGGTGGGAAATATGTACTATCGTACCACGGTTAGCTGTTGCTGCACCACCGTCAGCTGCTGTTGCACCATGGTCAGCTGTTGCTGCACCAGTCAGCTGTTGCTGAACCACAGTGAGCTGCTGTTGCACCACAGTCAGCTGCTGCTGCACCACAGTCAGCTGCTGCTACACCACAGTCAGCTGCTGCTACACCACCGTCATCTGTTGCTGCATCACGGTCAGCTGTTGCTGCACCAGTCAGCTGTTGCTGAACCACAGTGAGCTGCTGTTGCACCACGGTCAGCTGCTGCTGCACCACAGTCAGCTGCTGCTACACCACCGTCATCTGTTGCTGCATCACGGTCAGCTGTTGCTGCACCAGTCAGCTGTTGCTGAACCACGGTGAGCTGCTGTTGCACCACGGTCAGCTGCTGCTGCACCACAGTCAGCTGCTGCTACACCACCATCATCTGTTGCTGCACCAGAGTCAGCTGCTGCTACACCACTGTCATCTATTGCTGCACCACGGTCAGCTGCTGCTGTTGCACCAAAGTCAGCTGTTGCTGCACCACGGTCAGCTGGTCCTAGTGGCATTAAAAGAAGAAGGGAAGTAGCCCTGGAAAAGGACGTGATACCTAAAGTCCTAATGGAAGGGGATTCCCCTTCTAAACATTAACAACTTCCATACTCTCCCCTCCTCCCATCCCATCAATCATCACCAGATCTTCAATAAAGGTAAGTGTCACTTTGTGTGTATTAAAATTAATATTTCATGTGGTAAAAAAAAATTTTATTTTCATACTTTGTGGTGTCCTGCACGGATTAATTTGATTTCCATTATTTCTTATGGGGAAAATTAATTCGTCTTACGATAATTTCGGCATACGATGACCTCTCAGGAGCAGATTAATATCGTATGCCCTCCGTGTGTGAAGCGGGAGCTTTAGCCACCAGGACACCGGGTCACCTTCAACCTCTTTCTTCTCTGGATTCAGCCTACAAGGTGGTCTCTCAGGTATGACCAAAGATCCAGATACCCTTAAGTCATACATTTCCACCTTAATTACAGAAAATATGAATCTTTGTGAAATGCTAACTAAACAAGACTGAATCAGGATGACACACCTTGAGAACAAAATCCTCAGCCTTGAACAAAATTTATCACCATCTGGAATAACTAACTTTGCCAAGACCCTCCAAACAGTCATAGATAGCCACATAAGAACAAATAACATCTCTTAATACAAAGGTTAAGGAAGCAGTAACAAGAGTGAAAGAACAACTTGGATAACCAATTCAGTGATTACTTTGCACTCCAAGAGGATAAAAGTGAGCAAGAAAAATTATCAGATGCAGTAATAGTTACCAATCCACATTTTCCCAGTGATATGAACCAAGCAAACAGTAAAGAAATTACTCACCAGATCATAAAGGACCAAACAAGTGTTACTGTACCAGTGACAGAATTAAAGGAAGCCAGGTTACTAGGATCCCATAGTAGAAGAAGTGTTATGCTTATGTTCCACACACGACAGGAAAAAAGGCTTAATTAGCACATCTATTAGCCCCTAAACGGCCCAAATGTATGTACATGTTCTCTCGCCCAGTGCCCCAAATATTTTGAAAAATAAAAAAAAGTTTTTTCCATTGAAAAGAGAAAATTTTCTAAGTGTTTTTTCAATAATTTTATAGAGTCTGCGATTTCTGGTCTCAGTTATAGAATGGAAACATATACAAAAGAGTTTTTGATTGGTTATAGCATGGAAATGCTTTTACAGCTAAATGAAATTAAATTTTTGCTCGATATTCAAGAAAACAAACGACTCACCGTCTAATACCATCGCTGGTGGGTCTAATATACATCAAATTATGAGATTTATATCAATTATTTAAGTATTGCAAACATAAATCTGCATTTTTGGTGTGAATAAAAATACATTATTGAAAAAAATCAAAATGGAATTTAGTACAAGCTCAAAACATAACTAATGAAAAGGAGAATTTAGTTTAGTGCCAGGAATGCCTACATTGTTCATTCTGGACCCTATTTTGAAATTGGAATATTTTGAACTTTGTGTTAAATTGGCCAAATTACCAATTTCCGATCACTTTATTTTGTAGTTGAAACAGTTGACTTGGCGATTTCTTGTGCTCAATCGATAGAATAGAAGTAATACTAGTGAAATAGCTAAGAATTTGGTTGACTGGAATAATGTAATTCGCCTAAAATGGGAGTCAAAGTCGGCAAAATCGCCGATTTGTAAATATCGCTGACACATCAAAATTCGCGAGAGCATAATTTCGTCAATTTTCCACCAAATTTCGTACTTTTTGTTTTATTATCTTCACAAAAAGATTCTCTACGATTTCATAAGAAAAAATAACAAATTTTTTTTTTGAAAATTCTTGGACACTGGTGCGTGACTCCAGATTTGGGCCTTGGACCCTGAAAGGGTTAAAGGAAGCCAGGTTACTAGGATCCCATAGTAGAAGAAGTGTTATGCTTATGTTCCACACACGACAGGAAAAAAGGCTTAATTAGCGCATCTATTAGTCCCTAAACGGCCCAAATGTATGTACATGTTCTCTCGCCCAGTGCCCCAAATATTTTGAAAAATAAAAAAAGTTTTTTTCCATTGAAATAGAGAAAATTTTCCTAAGTGTTATAGGATTAAAATAAAACAAATTAGAGGCAGTATTTACTGAGATATGAGGCTGCAAAATTGGCACTTAATGCTCACCTGACGGTAACACTGAGTCCTGCCGCTTGCAGAAGTGTTGCCGATAAACCTTTTTTTTTCATTTTTATATTTTTTATATAATTTTTATATTCTGATAACTACAATTTATTGTAGTTCTTGTCACTTCATAACCAATCTTCGTTCCTTTACTATTGTCTAGGAATTTATACAAAGTATTTATAGGTCCCAGCAATGTTTTGGATATACGGGAGTATAGAAAAGGAAGAAGGAAGAAGAAGAAAGAAGAACCCTTGAAGCAACATGTAAGACAAGTGTCAGTGACAAGCATCGGGAAGGCAGTGATGAGATGAGATAAGGGATGACATTTGATGGGTGCCAGCGAGGGTGCAAAGATGAGATAAGGGGTGACATATGATGAGCTCGTATCTC